AAATTAAATCTTTGTGAAATTAGATATAGTCAAGTAGAGATTAACAAAACAATCCAACAATAGGCACAACTGGCATGACGCCGTCTGTCAATGAATGGCTCATCAGCAACTGACCAGTTGGTGATGGTAATTTGTCCCGAAGTGAAACGCTCTTTACCTGCAAGAGCTGCACTCCCCTTTTCCCCATGACAATATTGTCAGGGTTATGTATTAAGAGCATTTTTCAGTCAGAGAGATTTCATGAAAAATCATCAGAAAAATGGACAAAAGTTGTGTGGGGAACATATAATTCAGACAGCGTTACCCCGAGCGTTTAGAGATCGGAATACAGTTCATTCTATCTCCAAAATGGATGGAGAAAGTCTGGTGGTTGAACGCATGAACAGCTGAATACAGCAGTTATAAACAGGACATACCACATGTGGTCTGTACCAAGGTAACTGCAAGTTTTTTCTTCTTCTTTCGGCTTCTCCCTTCTTCAGGAAGTCGCCACAACGAACTAAGTCACACAAAGACTTGGCAATTGTGTTTACACCGGATGCCCTTCCTGACACAACCACAGACCACTGAGCTACCACAGCCCTCTGTGTGGAGCAGAGAGCTGCTATCTAGGGCGCCTGGGGGAGCAGATGGTGGGGGTTAAGGGCCTTGCTCAAAGGCCCAGAGTGGGGCAAATGAGGGTGGAGGCAGGTGTGGGTGCTTCATCTATCTCACCCACATTTTGATGTCATCTGTACCGGGAGTTGAACCAGCAATCTTCCAATCACAGGCCCACATTCTCTAACCTCTGCACCACCACTCCCATGAAGGTAACTATAAGTCCAGTAGTCCCTCATTTATCACGGGTGTTTGGGACCACGTCCACCTGCAATAAGTGCAAACCCATGAAGTAGGGATACAGTAGTCCAAGATTGCAAGTTCAAGTTAAATAAACTTTGTCATGACATGTGCCAGACTGCAATCACACTCATCAACTGTTACTCCCAACCTCTCTCCTTAAATAAACTATTTAAATTTAAATACTGTAAGATTTTAAATAAACAATCCATGCTGTATGTATTGTTTATTTAATATATGTTACAGTAATTAAATTTAAATTGTAGAGAAGAGAAGAGCAGCAGGACATCAAAGGATCTCACACAGCTTCAGCTCTGCAGCACGGAGCAGAAATGTACTTCTTGATCAATTACACTTCAACAACTGACCATAAAAAAATTCTAATAAAAAAAAAAAAAAAAACTTTTAACACTTTTATATTTTGTGATTAAGACAATTTGACATACTTTAAATTATAAGTTGGAAGACAAAAGTTGATCGGTGCATCTGGACATCCTTCACAAAGTCGAGGCAGCAGGAGAAATGTGTGCATGACAGAGAAGGAGATCAGCTGTTCAGCTGCAGGAGGGAGCTTCCCCCTGCACTTATGGACTGCACACATAGTGCAAAATCATTTAAAATAATTTCTTTTAAATAAACAATCCATGGCTCATCCATCAATCAGCCAATTGTGTCATGTCCAATCTTATTTTGAAAAACGGCGATATAGCGAATCCACGATAAACGAACCGAGAAGTAGCAAGGGACTACTGTAACTCCTCCATTTTCAGTTATAATTACATTGTATTCAGGTCTTTCAGGTCTCTTGTAAACGAGTCCCCGAGGCTCACTGGGATTAACCTGTCTAAATAAAGGTTGAATGAATGAGTATGCTTAATGGATAAATTAGAAGTTAACGTATAAAGCTAGCTGTGCTTTGTGATTTGTATGTACAATAGATATATGTTGCAACTTCTGCTTGCATACGTTTAGTTTTTGTTTGCTACGATCAGTTAACACTAAACCGAGTTTAGACAAAGCGTTGATTAGATTGTGTAAAGTTTAAAGTCGTAGTACAAACTGAAGTTCACTGTAAATTGTTGCCCTGAGTCGCTCTGTGGCATGAAAACATTTACTGCATTTTACGTTTCTTTGAACATTTTTCCCTTGTCTTCTTAGCCATAACGACGGCTGATGAGGCAGAATGCCTCACTAAATGTCTGAGGTAAAGCCGTGAGCTTCTCTACCTCCACCATTACAGCCATGTTGTTTGTTTGTCAGAGGTTAGCTCACCCCGGGTTACATTTCCATGTGGGCAAAGTGATATTAATGTTCTCGTCATGTCCATTTCTGATAGCTTTGTTCTTTTTCTTGCCTGCTGCTGAAAGGTTTTTGCCTGTCGGTGTGTTTGTCTGTTAGCAAAATATGTGCTGAACCACTAAATGGAATTTAATCAAGGTTGCAAAAAGGTGTTAACATGATTCAAGATGGCTGCCACAGCCAACAAACATTAAAAACAGAAATCGGCTATATTTCAGCCAATTCTACAGATTTATATCCATCCATCCATCCATCCATCCATCCATCCATCCATCCATCCACCCATCCATCCATCCATCCACCCATCCATCCATCCAGTGTGGTAGTAGCTGAAACTGATCCCCAACACATATTCTGAGTGTTAACAGAGTGCTTAAGATATTTGTTTAAAATATGTTCAATAAGTACTTGAAATAAACCCATTTGTCTGTTAGTAAAATATCTCATGGACCAGTGAGCAGATTTTATAAAAGCTTTCAACCCAATTTAAAGTGTCTGCCAGTTAATCTACCTGAAACACAAAGGAGCTGTGGAGTGCACGTGTTTTTAACCAACAGGCTTTAAAAAGCTAAATGTGTTAATAAACTGAGTTGTTGTTGTTTCATTTGACGTTTTCTGCATTAACATTAGACTGGTTTTAATATGCGCTGGCTGCAGGGATGGTATTTACTTCTTTTCATTTCATAAATCAGCAGTGCATAATTTGGACAGGGGTGTCTTAACATTTGCATACAACTGCAAGAGACCTTTTATATTAGTGAAAATCCTGCCTGCCAGTTCATAATAAATGTGGCAGCATCTGTGTATTTGGTGCATTGCTAATAAACCCAAATAACTCGTGAAGCAGAGGCCTGTTCCAGCATGTTAATTATCGAGTCCTAACATCCTCAGCAACACATCAGGCGGAGAACACCCACATGTAGAATCGAAAAGATTTAAATAATGTTTAGAAAGGAGGGAAAAATCCTTTAGCACAAAAAAAAGGAGATAATCTTTAGTAGGATAAGAGAAGAAACGTTTCTTTTGAATCCCATGTTGAGCAGAAACTTGTCTCAGTGCTGCAGAAGTAAAACAGACCCTGGCTGGAGTTTAAAGTGAAGCGTGTCGCAGCCAGCTAACGCTATATCGGTTCTCTGGAGGAGTTTAGTCAGCTCTGCTCGCCCAAACGGCTGTTTGCATCACCGGGGAGATGTTTGTCTTCGGCTCGTCTGCAGATAAGGACAGTTGTGATGCTTGCAGCGCTGAATACATTCACCAGCTGCCACACAACAACAAGCAGGCCTGGTGTGATGCTGGGTTAACTGGTCTGCAGCTTCCGCTCCCCCTCCCATCTCTGCTCAGCTGATACAAGACGTCTGGGTTTAATCCTTTGTTTATTCATGCATGATGGATTTATGTTTTAAAGGATGCACATGTGCAGCGCTGTGTTGTTTAATGCGTTTTTTTTTTTTATATAGCAGAGTTCAAACATGGTTTTTAAAAGCTTTCAATCAACTGCGAGTTTGATTTAACAATCCTAAGGTATAAAAACTTCTGCAAATCTGCATTTTTATTTTCTGAGCAGATGATTTGGTAGCATTTTATGAGCAAACCCATTCATGAATCATGTAAAACTGGCTCATTCTCTAGTTAATTATGCACAGGGGAAAAGAGAAAAAACAACTTATGAAAAGTGTCATAAATATGCACCCTAAAAAGGAGGGGTGTGCAGCCTTCTTGTCCCACCTCAGATATTGATATGTCCTCAAAAAACAGGTGTTTGTGCACAGCGGGTGTCTGCAGAGAGGATTCACAATATGCTCACACACCTGTGCAAACACACCATCTCTTTCTGACTGTACAAAAACTCTAATATTGACAGGTGATGCAAAATGAGACGTACAAGGAGTTTAAGGAAAACGTTTGGGAAATGCTCACCTGTAAGGCTGGCCACAGACAAGCCAGAGTCTGGAGCCGCGCCGACTGTCTGACACCACCACAGCTGTTCAAGACGCCTCGCCAGCTGACTGCGCTCAGGTTTTGTTAGCATGCGTGCGCTTGTTAGGAGACGGAAGGCGTTTTGAGACATTTGTTGCCCCTTAGCTCGTTCAGGAGGGGATCCATGTTTCACCACATGCTGAAATACTTGTACGTGACAGAAGAAACAAAACAAACACAAAAACAAACAAAATGTAGGACAAAAACATGCAAACAAGGAAAATGCAGTTTATTGTAAATATTTCGATAAAATTTAATACAAAGAAAGAAAAGAAACAATAGTTGCATATTGTAAGAGAGAAACGTTGAGTTTCTTTTGTTTGGACATTTTATTTCCCTTTAGCAGACTCACTTTAATTTCAATAAAGCTTTCTATATTAATAACAAAAACAGAAGACACTGGGATACGACTAAAAGCAAAATACTTCTAGTTGTTACCATTACAACCAGTAAACGTATAAAGAATAAAAATAAGACTGGACGAGAAAAGTGATTGAGTACCAGAAGTACCAGATGTTGACTGATTAAAACGTATACACTGTTAAAAACAAGTCATGTGCAATTAAAAAAACAAAAGTACACATAGGATAAAAGTTCAGAGAGACAATTTTCTGAGATACAAGTGGTTTTTTTGAACCACAGCTGTTATTATTCAGTCTGTTTTCTGACTAATGTGCCAGTTTAGCTTTTAAGTACACACCTTTTGCAACAACAAATGTTTAAACAACAGATTTATTGCCTAAATTATATTATATGTGCGGTGAATTATACCCGACATGTTTGTCTTCATGAGTAATTGTCCTCTGTTAGATTACATTTTATTATATTTTGATTTTAATAAAAAATGCGTATGCATTGCATAATGTTTGAGCGATAAGAACTGAAGCTCACAAAGCTCGGAGCCGAGCCAGAAGAGCCTCGATATCGGACTCAGCCTCAGCTTCAAGCTCCGACTCTTTTTCAGTCACTTTGACCGTCTCTTGATCCGGCAGCTTCTCTTTGCTGTGACCTGGAGCGTTCCTGCACCTGCCGCCAGACTCCGAGCAGCCAGGCGCCTTCACTCTGGCTGCAGACGGATGGCCCTCAGACTCATTACGCACCTCCTTGGCAGGGAGAGCCTTCGCCGCCACCGAGCTCGCATTTACATTCTGCCGAGAGCGAGACCTTTGCAAAAGGGCCTTGTTGTTTTCTGTGTGTGAAAAACACGAGCAAAGCAGTGAGTACAACAGTGAAAATAAGGAGTGAGGAGGAGGAGGAGGGAGTGCGTGACTGACTCGTTAAATGAATAAAAGGCAAGGAGGTTAATCAGATTAAAGACTAAATTACGAGGAGATGAAGCAAGCGAGGGACTAGAAAGCGTAGTGTCGGTTAAAATGCAGCAAACATAAAAGTATTGGAAAATAATAGGCACTTCAGCAAGAACACGCACATGCAAAACAAATGCTCATGTGTGCGTAAACACATAAATACAGTGTCTACACACTGATGGGTTTTCTGCAGAACTCTGGCGTGCAGCCAGCTCACGATGACGAAATGGATGTGACTGATCAACTGCAACAGAAACTCAATAACATCGTACGTTGGCCTTTTCCAATCTCTTAGTACTGGGGGCCACAAATGGCAGAGCGGATCTGATCTAATCTGGACACAGATCACTTGTTAAGTTTTGGTAGAATGAAATCATACACGTTTTTTTTTTTTTTCTTCCATATTTACTGTAATAGATTTCAGGCATCACAACTTTTTCCTCATTTACTGTAATCTATATTTTAATAGCTTTTCTAGCGTTTACAGTATTTTCCAGCACCTGGCTCAGAGTTTGTCTCTACAGGGAGAACTGGCCGGCTTAGTGGGAGGTAGAGGCCTGAAAAAAAAAAACAACATCACGAGTGAAGAAGAGTAGTATGGCCAACACAATAAAAGAGAATTCATATAGATATATTCTGGATCTTTGCTTGAGAAAAAATTCTTTAGGTGGAACCCACTGAATTTTCAATGAAGACCACTGCCCTAGTCTTTTATTTTTTTTTCTCCTCCTGACACCCTCTTCCCTTGTTTTCACCATCATCATCATCATCATCTATTCTCCTTCTGCTGGTCTCCGTCTCAGCTCTCTGCTCCCACAAAAGTCCCCTCCATCTTTCTATTCCTCAAAAACACATTCCCAGGCAGACGGCGGAACAGAGCGATGCCCAGATGCCAAAATTCAGACCTGCATTCTGAATTATAATCCCTCTCAGTAGATCTTAGACTTCATCATCAGTATGTGCGCGCTGGAAGAAGAGGCAGAATCCATATTCATGTGACCTTGAGCGCGAGGCTGAGAGGAGCGGTGCAAGGAAAGACACCGCCGCATTTAAAGTTTCCTGAGCCTGAAATGTCTGGCAAACGGGAGTCAACACAGCCGAGCAGAACAGAGCGACCCGCTCTGTCAGCCAATCGGTAATGAGTTTGGAGCGTGGCCAGTCAGTCATGACAGTGTGTTTTATGGGCCGAGCTGACGAATGACAAGGAACGTCCCTGAACACAACCTCTGACAAATAAATAAGGAAAAAAGGATCGGAGTGGGCAAGAAGGACCCGAGTGTAAACTAGGCAAAGCGAGCCGACAATCCCGCTCGGTAAACAAAAAGCAGAGGAACACAACGAGGAGAACGTGTTTACTTTACTGGTGTGACTGAAAATGAACACGAGCTGGAGATGATCCAAGTCTGTTTAGATTATCTGACCTGTTCCACCCCGTCTTCCTTTAGAACTGTCTCAGTTGTAACAGCTGATGGTTTCTCCTCAAAAAGCACGGACCAGTGCGAGATTCTGACAGTATAACAACTTTGGGGGAAATAACACATTCACCATACTAAAATAAAAACAATAAAAAAAGATTTATTTGCTTTTTTCTTTAAAACCAGAAATGCAAATGCAATGTGTCCAGTTTTAGCTTCATCACTGGCTCCCTGTAAATGTCAGAACAGAAGTATTCTTCTTCTTCTTCTTCAAAGCTCTTGACAACCAATTTTATGATAAAGATATGTTTGTTTTGCATTTTCCCAACAGCGCACTTTGCTCTCAAACTGCAAGTTTCCTTGTGGTTCCTAGAGTTTCTAAAAGACCATAGCTGCAATTATAATTAAATCACAAATATTGAGATTTATTTGTAAATTTAACTCTAGATAATAGGGACTCTGTGCTAAAAAAGTATTTAAAAATAAAAAAATTGTAGTAGACGTGGACATAAATGACCCTGAGTTGCTTGATTAATGACACTGTGGGAGTTTTTCTGTGAGGGCGTTGACGTTTCCCTTAAAGATTATTATTATTATTTTTTTTTTTTACATCCAGCTGATCAGGTGCATTTCTCTTTAAAAGAAATAAAAAGGAACAAGCTGTCATTTGTCTTTCTTTTTGTCCCGTGACAAACTATCACTCTAGATCATGTGTGTCAAGCTCAAGTCCCGGGGGCCAAATGTGGCCCTCGTTGACATCTTATCTGGTCCCCAAAATGATATGTGATGGAAATTACTTTTATCTCTTGAAAATGTTCAGTAATCTTTGATTACGATGTCAAAAGCACAACAGAGAACATCAAATGAGACCAATCAAACTCTTGTTGAGAAACCTGTGACCAAGAAAAGGTGCTGGGCATCTGATTCGAGTTAATGTAGTTTCTGAAATTGGTTCTTAGTTGGAAAAAGTTTTAATTTTGGCCTTATTTTGTAAGTGCGTTTGACACCCCTGCTCCAGATCAATTTTTTATCATTTTAAAATTGAGCTTCAATATTTTATTATTTTTAAATTGAGCTTAAAATTATAACCTCTTCTGCACTTTGTGATGTAACATGGAGAGCATGACAAGCTAACGTTAGCTAGCTGATGAGGCTGTGTGATGCTAACTTTAGTAGCCGTTTTTTTTTTTTTAAACCATAATGGTATCTCTTGAAACCAGTTTTGGCCATGCCTGCTTCCCACTGTCTACTACTCCTTTCCTATTTTCCCTTTATGTTTAATTCTTCTGTCTGTCCCCTGCCCCCCCCCCCCCCCCACCTCCCTGGCAGATAAAACACTCACAAATTCAGCGCTGAAGCTGTGACAATAATGCATTGTGTTATCAAGTATTTGCATTTTCTCATCTTGTTCATAAATCTCAAATCAGCACCAGAAAAAAGAAGAACTGACAGGAAGCGTATTATCAGAAATTAATTATAAAGGAATTTAAACTTAAAATTTCAACACCACAAACTTGGACTTTAATTTCAGCTTTGCATAAACCTTAATGAAGAGTTTTATTAATTTTTTTTTAAAGTACAAGGTGTTGCATCATGACAAATATTTACACTTCAAAAGAAATAAACGTATGCACACGCACACACACACTAGAATGAGATGTTTTATCCAAACATGCTTCTTCTCTCCCCATCTTTAGTGCTAAAGATGATCAAAGTACTGGCAAGTTCGGTTCTTTCTCATCCTGCCTGTGACACCAAACTGCCCCTTCCTTTGAAGCCTCACTAGTTTCTTCTTCTACGCCGTAAAATACATCTGAGAGATGTAAAACATGCCTCATCTCACAGGTTGGACTCATTTAACGAACAGCTGACAAAGGGTGCGCTGGAACGCAAGCCAAGTCAAATTTTAATCAAAGTTTCTGCTCTGAATGGTCCCAAATCTGAACATGAAAAACACTGTCTTTCTATTGAACGTGTGGTGAAGCAAAGAACAATTTGATATAAATACTATATTGGACTGGAAAAAGGTGGAATGCTCCCTTCTGATTATGGGTGAGGTTTTGCCTCAAGTGGAAGAGTTCAAGTACCTGGGAGTGTTGTTCAGGTGTGATGGAGCAAGAGCCAGATCAACTGATAAGGGTCTCGAAAAGCAAAGTTCTTGATTTATGTGTCCCTCTGCATTTCAACCCTCACCTCATATGAGTGAATAGGGGCTGATGTGAGCTTCTGTATGTCCCCCATCGCAGAGTGAAGAAGGGGAATTGGAAATACCCTCTGTCCATATTATGAGGATGATAACTAAAAAAAATAGTGAGGTATCGACTTACGTGGTCTGTGGAAACATCTAGGTCAGAGGTCTGCAAACGTTTTGATCAAAAGAGCCATTTCTGCTCCTTCTCTCGCCAAGTAAAATGTGTCTGGAGCCACAAAACCTGCTACAACTGTGATTATCAACTGATGGCCCATGGGCCACTGAGTTTGTTGGGGGGGGGGCTTTTCTGGCCAGTGGGTGTGACATTATAAAACTAAAATTATATCATGAATTTTAACATTTATTGATATTTTTACATTTTAAGACCAAAAAAGTCCATATCAAGTAAAGAAGGAAAATAATTATAGTCATGAGGTTGCGGGTTCAAGCCTAGGTTGCGGCAGGAAGAGCGTCCGGCCTAAAACAAATTGCCAAATCTTTCATGCGAGTGGTGACCCTTGAAGAAGGGAGCAGCTGAAAGAAACTTACATACTACTTCAACAATTTACTGCAGGATTAAAAAAGTTCTTATTTTATCTTACTAGTAGTTACTGGGCAAAAATTTACAAAACAGTTTACAATAAAACTAACAAAAATAGCCTCTTCTGTTGTGGGTATAAAATTACAATTAAATTTCATTTCATTATTTTTTTTTTTTAATATTGTATGTATATTTATGTGTATG